TAACTCCCAACGGCTAGTTCAGTTGTCTGGTACAGTGGCGGACGTCCAATAAGGATCTTCTGGTCGGACATAGAATTTCATGTTTTTGACTTCTATAAATACCAATTCACTTACCATTTACCACTAGATTTTGAGAGTATCAAAGTGAGATTCTTTTGAGCAAAATAGAATTGATTTCTCCCCTATTTATTGTTATCAAATCATTGTGTTTGAAAGAAAAGTCTTTTGATCAAATTAATTTTTGAGAATCATTTCATACATCAAAGACTTCCATACCTAACACTTGAGAGTTTCATTCATTGCTATCTATTAAAGTGTTAGCCCACTTCTCTTCTTGTAATCAACTTTAGAATCATCATTGATTGAAAAGAGAATATTTCATTTGTANCTTTACAATTGAAAAGTCTTTTGATTGAATTAATTCTTGAGAATCATTCCATACATCAAAAGACTTTCACACCTAACACTTAAGCTTCATTCATTGCAAACTATTAAAGTGTTAGCCCACTTCTCTTCTTGTACTCAACTTTGGAATCATCATTGATTGAGAAGAGAATATTTCATTTGTAAACTTACTTAAATTGTGGATCGTGTTGAGGTCCCGAAAAGCTCAACGTTGTAAAATGATTTGTGCCCCTTGCTTGTAAGTCATCGGAAGCATTGTAAAGGGTTGGATTGCATCACAAGTCAATCAATATAGTAAAATTGGCCTTCCTCATGTCGGAGAGCTTGGAAACTAGGGATATAGATTATTGTGTTAGATCGAACTTCCACAAATATATTGTTTGCACCGTCTATCTCTTTTCGCTTATTGCTTTCATATTTGTGTTTGATATTTAAATCAATTTATCTAGTTATTACTTGTAGATTATAAATTAATTTCTCGAAAAGTTTTAAAAACAAATTTACCCCCTCTTGATTAGCTAGTCTTGGGCTATCAACATAGATGCCTTTTTTACTTTGCTCCTTTTACTTTCATGCGCTTTAGAAAACTTAAACAAGAAAAGACGATTTTTAACGAAGAAAGAAGCTCCGATGTAGCAAAATCTCATAATCTGATGACCCAACTTGGAGCTTTAGGTACGAAAACTTAAACTTTCACTCTTAAATTTCATTCCTTGTACTCATTTTTTCCTTTTCTTCTACAAAATCATCTCCAACCACAATGGCATCAACTTTCCACGTCGAAAAGAAAACCTTTTCTAAAAAGTTTTGAAGTTTGGAAGTGCTTGTTGACAAGAAGGCTAGGGTAAGTCAATATTTCGAGGCACAGGTCACAAGCTCTATTGGTGATAAGGTTGTTGCTATGGTATGTGGGATGCAACATAGGTGTCTTCTAAAGTTATTGTCGAAGACCTAAATAGTGCCCAAAGATGTTCCAAGTGCCAAATGATATCAAGTTCATTAAGCTCAAGGTGCATAAATGAGGCTACTACCCAAAGATGATGTGTGGCTATCTCTATAACCTCGTTGATCACAATGATTAGTCTTCCACTCCATCTGTTCTTAAGAAGAGTGTTAGGTCTTATAGTTTAGAGCTTACTCAAGTCGGTCCTAATGGTCGAGGCGATGGTAGATGGTCTTACGCCCTAAACCTGGAGATGGAATAAACGGCATATTCGCCTCAAAGAATAGGTAATTGATGGTACTTTGCTTAGTTGGAGTCACGTGACATGTTACATTTGTAGATGCGTATCTTTAAATTTAGAATAAATTTTTTGTACACTCCAACATATAGTCTCCATTTTGATTCTTAATTTATTTTTTTCAAGAAACATTTTTTAATTTTTTTCTTATTTTATATTTAAAATATTTTTTATATGTCGGTCAATCATTTCAAGTATAATTTTGAATAATT